GGCACCCCACGGCAACACCACGCAAGGCGGGCACCCCACGGCAACACCACGCAACGCCGGCACCCCACGGCAACACCACGCAACGCCGGCACCCCACGGCAACACCACGCAATGTCACCTACTCTTCAAGCATTTCATTTTTTCCTTCAAACCTGCAATGTAACAGGGTGGCGTTAAACCGTGGTCACAGCAAAGCCACGTCCAGGCAGGTGCGGGGGCGGCGGGGAAGGAAAGGCGGGTGCGCGTCCCGGGAGGGCCGGCCGGGGCGTGAGGCCAGCTGCTGGCCCGGCCGTGGCTGCCCACGGGCGCCGGCCCGCTCGCCAGGCCCGTTCTCGGGTCCCCACCGTGGCCACGCTGCCACTGCACGTGGGTGGTGCGTGCGAGTTTAGCGTGGTCACAATGAGTGGCCCAGAGGTGCCGGATGTGAAGACCTACCCCAGGCCCGGGAGACCCCTGCGCCAACACCGGACACGCGTGTGGCCCAGCCTGGGCCACGTACTGGCACGGCTGCAAGGAGGGTCTGCTGGCGGAGTGCCAGGGAGAAGTGGTGCGTGTGCTGGGCCCAGCCCTCGGGGTGTGCTCGCTGGGGGCGTCTCACGGGGAAGGGGGGGCCAAGCCCTCGGGGTGTGCGCGTTGGGGGCGTCTGACGGGGAAGGGGGGCCCAGCCCTTGGGGTGTGCGCGCTGGTGGCGTCTCGGGGAAGGCGGGGCCCTCAGGGTGCGCGCTGGGGGTGTCTCACAGGGAAAGGGGGGCCCAGCCCTCGGGGTGCGCGCTGGGGGCGTCTCACAGGGAAGGGGGGGCCCAGCCCTCGGGGTGCGCGCTGGGGGCGTCTCACGGGGAAGGGGGGCCCAGCCCTCCAGTCCACCCCCTTGCGCATGGGATTCCGCTGCGTTCACCCCCAGGCAAGCAGCAGATGCTTCAGAAATGCGTGCGCAGGGTTGCTGAGCGAATGGCCTCCATCCAGCGTGGACAGCAGCCTGTGGGCAGCTCCTGGCGGCCCTCAGGGCGGCCGGCTCGCTGAGCAGCCCGGGGCCACACCTACCTCCGTTGGCCAGGAGGTTCTCCAGCACCTTGCCCTTGGCGTCCTCCATCACCTCCACCACGCTGTGCGCCATCTTCCGGATGAGGCTTTGGGGAAGAACAGAGGCCGGTCAGCACAGGGCATGGCCGGGCCCCGCGCTGGCGCGTGAGCCTCCGAGGCGCATGCTGGCGGGCGGGGAGCGGGCAGAAGGAGCCAGCCAGCATTTCGCGCCTGGGCAATGACGCAGAGGCGGCTCCGAGATGGCCTCGGCCTCTCGTGCCGACAGGACCGGAAGCTGCCGGAAGCGCCGAGGGGGCCTGGGGGGGCTGTTTAGGCCAGTGGTGGCTGTCCGGGGGAGCGGTCATCTGGTAGCCACTGAAAGTCAGGTTTGCAGAGGACCCCGACACCGGGAACCAGGCGGGTCTCGCACGGGGCGAAAACAAGAGGCCAAAGCCGAGAGCCTGGAGCTCCGGGGGTCTGTTCTTCCCACGCTGCGTCTTCCGCTATCGCCCAGTTCTCATCAGCAAACTGAAAGCCCGGTCCATCTCCAGGACACGAACTGGACACGCGGGGTGTGCCGACGGCGGCCCAGGGGCTTGCTGCCGCTTCGGACGGCGGTCACGGGTCTCAGTCCAGGGCGGCCGGGCTGGGGACCCAGGGGACTGCGGGCCCCTGCGGCGGGCGACGGTCAGAGGAGCCCTGGGCACACCCGGGCGGTGCCCTGGGGCGCCCCGTCAGCTGGTTGGGGGGAGGCGTGGGCCTGCCTCCCTGCCGTCCTAGAACCCGCTCCCCTCACCCCGGCAGCCGCCCCGCCCGCCTGTTCCCGGCTCAGTGGACCCTCCCACGTGCCCTCCGTGAGAACATCTCCTGGCATCTTTTAGGGCCTTGGCTTGAGAAACGCAGCTGCTGATTCGCTCAAACATTTAGCAAAGTGCAGACATGAAGGAGCTGCGCGCAGGCCGGTTCTCAGCACCGGAAGGAGACGCAGGGCAGGGGGCTGCCCAGGCCGCTTCTCCTCTCTGCAGACCCCCACGATGGTCACCGCCGACGCCTGCCTGGCGCCTGTGCGCGGCGGCCGCTCAGGTTGGGTCTGCGGTGGGGGTGAGCGTCCTTGGCCTCCACAGCACCCCAACAACCCTTCTCCCTCCTGACACCCTGCAGGCAGAGCTCCCGCCTCAGTGCGGGCGTCCCTCTGGGCCGCCCCGGCCCCGCGCCTGACGAGCGCCTGGAGGCACACACGCGCCAGTCGAGCGGCTGGCGAGGGGCTGGCGGGACCTCGCTCCCCGCACGGAGGCTCTGTGCCGCCGGCCTTCCCTGGTTTGCGGGGCTCGCAAGCTCCTGACCGACTTTGGCCAAGTTCTCTCCATTGAACAGCAATGATTTTAAATACAAATGACAGGGCCCTCCCTGGGCGCGGGGTTGGCTCGGCACTGGGAAGGTGCCCACAGCCACTGTGGCCCGAGCTCGCTCTGGCCAGGGCGGGACCCCAGGGCCAGCAGAACCCCGTCTCCTGCTGCCCCGCGGCAGTGTGCTCAGCAGATCCACCTGCTCTGCGCCCCACTGTCTCTGGGGAGTCCTCACCTCCCCGCCCCCACACCTCTGGCCTGTACCCCAGCTCTGATCTGGAAGAAAAGGAAGGAAGAAACCACGGTGCTGGGAAATACTCTTCTCGAAAAAATTTTCCCCTTCTTCCTGTTACTGGTTGTTCAGAAAGCCAGATTTGTTTCCCCATGACCCGAGGACACCCAAGTACACGATGCAAGTGAGAAAACGGGACAGAAACCAAGAATGGGCCGTGTTCCCATTTCATTCGTGCGTGGCTGTAACGTAGTAGAGCAGGAGCATGAAACACTCAGCAAGTCAAAAATCCCCGTGTGCAAGTTTTAGCAGCTGAGCTGTGTAGCGGCCATAACTAAACCTGTGGGATTGTTCTGGGCAAAAAGCCACCCAGCAACTGAAAGCTGCTCACGCCCGCACGCCCCCACTCCTGGTTCTCCACAGGCGGCCACGCCAGCGAGTCTCTTCCTTAACCTCAAGTGGCCGAATGACAAGCAGCGGGAGGCGCCGGGAGAGGCCAGGTGGCGGGTGCTGGCGGGTGCTGGGGTGGGGGTCAGGGGACTGCCGAGGCGCCTGGGCTGGCCACGAGGCCTGGCCCGCTCCGCCTTTGTGGGCGCTGTGGCAGCCATTAGCCCTGGGCCCGCAGGAGGGTGCAGGTGCTTCCTCGGGTTTATTTTTATCGCTTTGCAACTCATGCATGTCAGGACTGCGCTTCCTCATTCCTTTCCTTTATTCACAGCAACTTTTTTTTTTTTTTTGCATGTCTGTGTCGTAACTAACTCTGCTCTTCGACACGTGAATTATTTTCACTTTAATAAGATGCTTCCACGGTACACAGATTTTGCCCACCTGGTGCAGGTAGGTGCAGAATAAGTAGCTAAGAAGTTAGTCCTGGAACAAAGGTGTCACAGTTTATGGTTTTGACCAATAAGGCCAAAACATACAGGCCAGGTACACTCCCCCCGGCGCTGCATGAGAAAGTTGCTCCCCGAAGCCCTCCGTGATATCAGCACTCACGGATCTTTTTCACCCCTGCCAGCCTGACAGTTCAGGCCTCACTGCTGCTCCAATTTGCACCACCAGTGAGACTGGCCTTTCCCCACAGTCTTGTTGAGTCTAGAAAGGAACATTTTTCTTCTGGGAAAAAATGTATTCAATCTTTCGCTAGCTTTTTGACTTCTAGTTTTTATAAAGTGATTTGTAGAGGTCTGAGTGTTTCAGAGACTCAGTTTCTGAGATGAGGATGTGCAAGACATTTAAAGAAGAAAAGAATTAAGACAGAGAGCCGAAGTCACCGAGCCCAGGTAAGGACGGCCAGGCGGACGGTGTTCCCGCCACAGGACTCCAGAGGTCCATCTTCCACGCCCGTGTAAACCGCCCGGCACCCTCCAAGATAGTTGCCAAAAGCTTACTTTACCCTCTGGGGAGAGACATAAATAATATTTTTATTTAAAAAGAGCAAGATGGGCCAGAAAGTAAAAGGAAAATACCAGATGGTTCGCTCATAGCAGGAGTATAATGGACCAGGCGAGATAATAATAAGAATAATGAACAGCCATATACCAGAGACATTCTGTGGGGGCGGAGTGGGGAATGGGATCAAAAACTGGGTGGGGGGGTGGGGAGGGAAATGCATGGGATTATGGTGATGGCGCGTGGGTGACGTGGTGATGGGAAACCCGCAGGGATTACAATTGAGATGGAAAAAAAATGTACAAAATGATGTAAAAATAAACTATTATTAAA